TTTCAGTGAATAGCTCCTCGATTGTCATGCTCCCCTGATACTTTTACAAAAATTTCGAATTTTTCACTTTCAGTGAAAATTTCAGTGAATAGCTCTTCGATTGTCATGTTCCCCGGATACTTTTACAAAAATTTCGAATTTTTCACTTTCAGTGAAAATTTCAGTGAATAGCTCTTCGATTGTCATGTTCTCCTGATACTTTTACAAAAATTTCGAATTTTTCACTTTCAGTGAAAATTTCAGTGAATAGCTCTTCGATTGTCATGTTCCCCTGATACTTTTACAAAAATTTCGAATTTTTCACTTTCAGTGAAAATTTCAGTGAATAACTCCTCGATGTTCATGTTACCCTGATACTTTTTAAAAAATTTCTAATTTTTCACTTTCAGTGAAAATTTCAGTGAATAGCTCCTCAATGTTCATATTCTCCTGATACTTTTTCAAAAATTTCGAATTTTTCAATTTCTATACTTATATTTTTGCAGAGGGATATTTCGATTGATTATTATTAAAAAAAAAAAATGAATGACGGCGGGATTGAACCCGGGCCGTCGGCGTGGTAGGCAAGCACGTTACCATTAAGACAACGCGCTCATCCTGATAATATATTTTCATTAGGCGTATATATTTTGCAAAGGGATTTTTAAAAAAAATTTCAAATTTGTCAATTTCACTGGATATCTTCTCAATTTTCAAAAATTCAGTGTCTAAACGATATTTTCATTGATTAGTCATTTAAAAAAGATAAAAATGGAATTATTTAAATAAAAAAAAAAATGAATAATGGCTAGGATCGAACCCTAGCCGTCGGCGTGCCAGTCGAGCACGTTACCACTAGGACAACGCGCTCATTTAAAAATATAAATTTATTAGTAGTATATCTTCAGTATATTGAATATTTTTTTTCATTTGAAATTCCACAATAGTGGCTTCCCCCTTCCGCTCGTTCGACAGTCGGCTAAATTTCAGTTAAACAAATAAAAACAAAAAGCATTCATCCCGCAAAAAATAAAATTCACCCCGTCGACTTGATGGACACCCCAACATTGCGTGTGGCGCCCTCCCTCTCTGGGGGTGGAGTACTACGATGTCGCTGGAGTCATTCCAACCCCCAGCACTGAGCCTCCACTTCAGTCAATCCTCTGTGGATATTATTACCAACAATTGATATGACAACCAGCAGTAGGTAAGTAGAATGGAAATGTGGGAGAATAAATGGTTGAGAGGTGGCGGTGGTAGGTGTGTGGTGATGACACATTATTATTATTATTATCATTATTATTATTATTTTAGTATGAGAATACATCGCGTGTTGAGAACGGAACTGTGGGGTTATGGCCGGCGGAAACACGCGCACACGCGAGGAGTGAGTGGTGGCTGTGTTTGGATATATTTGAGGATTGGTATCAGCGTCGGCCTCGACCGCCTCCACCACCTTGGCCGCCGTTGCCGTCGTGCACGAGGGGAACGTGGGTAAGTAGCCTCACTCCAATGCTACCCATTCAGTCTGCACTCGCATGTCCACGAGGTAGCTCACCGGCCCTGGCGCCTTCCTCTTGCCTACTTCAAACACTGGGTTAAAATATCACTTCCCCACTTCCACTTCCATTCATATCTCACTCTATCTCTCTCTCCATCCAGCAGTCCCTCCCCAATTGATACACAACCAAGTCCACCCATACACTCACGACACCTGGGTTCAGCATTCTCCTCTTTCTCAGTTTGTCTCTCGACACCGAGGCACAACGGTTGTCATCAGCTACTGATATAAACATTTCGATAATCATTGAGCTCACCCATTTAATGTATACACAATCAAGGGTTGAGGTTAGGTCTACTGTGTTCGCGGGATTTATCTTGGTATTTAAAAAATATCACCAACCCCTTCATGACTTGGCTCTATTTATTTGAAAATTTAAAATTCATTGACGTGCTTTATTCAACCTTTTTTCATCATAATTGTTCAACAATGTATTTTTATTATTAGATTATTGTCTGATAGGGGTTGTTTTTAAGAGGAAAAAATTTGAATTGTGTTGATTGTTGTGCCGGTTTAAACGTGCGTGGTGAGAGTGCTCTACTCGCGTGACAGTCAAAGCAGGTTAGGTCCTTTTGTCGGTTGCGCGGGTATTTCAAAAAAAGCCCATTACAATGACGAATTGATTTGTTCGAGTGAGGTGAATCGAGGTACTTTGTACTTCGTTGAATGAAGTATAAAGTTGTGTTGACAGCGGCTCGATAATTGTCTCGAGTCAATCAGTGAAGATTGATCTTCGGATTGATAGAGTGGAGGAGAGAAGAGCCAGAGCCATGTGGAAGGACAGCGGTCCCACTGTAAATATTATTAATCAATATATTGTTTAAATATATCAGATTCATGAGGATAAATTATCGGATTATTACCGGGTAATATTTGTCAGAGCTGTTAGCTCGGTGAACTAGTGTAATTGCATAGTGATAATGGGTTCGTTTAATTGTTCGATGGGTGAAGTCATAAAAGAGTGGGCTTTTGTAAACAGGGAAGAGCAGGGGATGAAAAATCGAATGGACGATTAATAATAGATATTCCGGTGATTGATGAGGTTTTATGGGTGGGAGGTGAGGGCGGATGAGAATTAACGCACAAGGAGGTGAAATGATTTTGAGTGACCAAACGACAATTATGGATGAAACCACAGTTATATAATCCACGAGTATACACATTTAGGGGATAGACGAAACGTCGAAATGTAATATAAAACCAATTTGATTTTGATTTCACACTGTAATACATTTGGATGCCCATCGTGCCGCGCGATGCGGATGCCGTGACCATTGCGGTTACGCATTTGTCCACGCAATTTGGTTTTGCGTGGCTGGTTAATGCCAAACGTGTGCGATCGATCGGCTTTGAAATTTCACATTTGCTCATACCATTTGGAATTTTCCCTTCCTCTTTGTCTCTGTTGTGCGTTAATGCTCGATTTGACTCGTTATCGTTGTTACAGAATTTTGAACTTTTAATTAATTGAATAATTGAATTTTGGGGGGGGTGTATTTTATTTTGTTTGATGGAGAATATCGATTGTTTGAAAACTGAGAGAGATGAAAAATGGTGAAATGACAAATAGAGGAAATGGCCCGGTTTGTTTTAGATGGATAATTCGACATACGTGCCGAATCACTTACCACCACCATCCTTGGTCGTGTTTTCACAGGCCGGGGGTATCCCCGACGCCTTGAGAATGCAGCGACCCTTCAATCCACAAGTTAGTTTTCACATTATCCCCAATTGATCGATCCCCTGCTGTTGCTTTGCATGAAATTATTATTCTACAGCATGAAATTTCTATTACCTATATCTCTTCATCTCTGCAATAGGTAGAGGAGATTGACATTAAATCGATGGGGAATCGCGCTTTGAAATCGAATATTTCTCCTATCAATGAACGAGTTATTTGCCTTTGGTTGGCCGTTATCCAGTAAAAAAAAAGTCATTCGCTGAATGCTGTTGCAGTTTCATTAAATCCATAACGAGAGGACAGCCGAAAAATAAAATGACATTTTAAAATTCATATTTGCATTTGCTGGCATATTAACGAAAAATAATGAAGCAATAAGATCATTAACACCGTTGCATGCTGCACGCATTTTTATTTTGCACGGTATATAATATAATGACAGCTTTATTCATATTGTCGTTATATTCCAAAGGTGACGGATTCGAAAGATCTTCATGTTCCATTCAGCACAGCAGCATCGCTCGGTTACGGTCTCCATCACATGCTACATCTGCCACATCAATTTCTTCATCCCCTTGATCCACGTCTGCCATTTGGTGCATTCAGACCACTTGGTCCATCGGCATTTGCACCACCTAGCAAGTGTCTGAAAGTCGAGACCGGAAATACAAGTGTCTCTTCGGGTCTCGCTAGTATTAGTTCACTGTCAGGAATGTCCAATATGTTTTCACCATCATTACCATCGTCGGGTGGTGTTGGTGGTGGACTATCAGCTCCTGGTCAGGATACAGCACCCCAAAGTCCAGCGGGTTCAGCGAGTCGTTCGCCACTTGGCAATGCACCTGGTTCAACTACTGCCTCAAATCGTGGACCAAGTCCTGATGAAGAGGATCGTGATGCTAATGCAACACCCGGATCCGAAAACACCGAGCGGTCAACGCCCGAGGAAGGACGACCCTACAGACGTAAGTACTATTACATTTACTAAATAAACTATATGATAGTACCAGGTGGCGGCAGTCCGCCGGGATCCGAACAGAGCCAACATTTTTCAATGTTAAAAACCAATTAAAATGTTGCGTTTTTTCAAATTTAATACCCTAATTGCCAAACGATGGAGCCCATTCGTTTAGAGGATCACCTTTTGACGGTGTTGCCGTCTCTATTCACCGCACTTTTGCCTCCCTGATTTCCTTTTTTTTTTTTTTTTCGTTCTGCTCATACTTTCGGGGGAATATGTAGCTAATTCTGGTTTAATTGGCCGTCGAGTTGGGAGAAAAGCTTTTTAAAATTGCGAGTTGTTGGTATGAATTTTCTGAGAATTTGTACTCTAGGGTGCAATTGAAATATATTGTCTTCTGGACGATTTGAGGGATTAAAATTAGGAGAATCAAAGCCAAGTGGATTATCCATTTGGACTGGATTATGAGCGATACATTAGCGAGTTGGCAGTTGGCAGAACGGATCGCAGTTGTTGACGAGATGCGCGTACATATACACGTGAGGGTTTGGGGATTGGTGGATGGGGGAGTAGTTTGGGTAACGTTTTGAAATGGGGTGACTGAGGGTGGACCAGTGGTGAGGGTTTTGTGGTGGTTGGGTTGACAGAACGATATACTCACCAATATTTCAAGCTCCGCGGTGAAACGGACGTAATATGATGTCGAAATGAAACGTGTCGAGCGAAACCAGTCGATACCTATACAGAAAGCGATGGACGAGAGAGGTTCAGTTGAACAGGAGTCGCGTGGGTTTTGAATACAACGTTGGGCTATTTTAGTTGCACAGTTTGTGCTGTGATTGCATACGCATGAACGTGTGTAGTCGTCGAAGCGCAGATATTTGTCAGAGAATTGATAACGCGAATAAACCCCCCTTTTGCTCTTTTCCATCCTCTACTCATTTTCCACTCATCTCTAATTCTACAAATTTGAAAAAGCATCCGGAAATTATTGCCCTTAATCGAGGGCATTTGCATTTTTATTTTTATATTTATATATTTTTTTTTACCTTTCCATTTGGCTACATTTAATTTCATGTTTAGTTTAATTTTGATAGGCACCAAGCTCATTAGTAAAATATACTTCCGAATGCATGGTCATGTCAACGTCTGTATCTAGCCGTAGCTGCGTTGATTAACCAAATGTCGAGGCTGTCAGACATTTTCACATCCAGAGCAGTAACTCGGATAATTCAAATTGTATGCCTAGTATATCCGATAATCATTCTAGAATTATATCTCTGCGGTGAGTTCAAAATTTCAGCTGAGCCACATATCCACGGGATCGTGAATATCGTGTCGTATTTTCCATGACTGACAACCATCTTTAGTCAAATAATTAGGGGGCCCTTCGTAAAGTGCCATGTAATTCTGAAATATTTTATGCAAATGAACATATCATAACTGCAACAAATACACAAACACTTTATTTATTCATTTTTCAATGTCGATGACGTTTGCTTCGCCAACATTGGATTGAAGTGACATGTCAAACGGTAATCACCCCAAAGAAAAAAATATTTTCAACAATTTTTTAATTGCCTCCTGTAACGCCCGGTGCTCGTTATGTACCGTCGCCTTCACCACGTCAAAGTGAAAAAAAAAAACACTTCTTTTTTTTTCGATGTGGACGTGGGACAAAGACGAGTTGGCGAAAAAAAAAATAATATAAAGAGGAAATGACCACTTTTAGGAGAGAGAAGGGGAGGGGTGGTTAACAAACTGGACGTGCGAGGGGTGAGAGGCTCTAAAGGGCGCGAGGGGGAATGACCAATTTGATTATCAATTAATTCCCTAGTACGTAATGGCAAATCAAGGACAGCTATGCCCCAACGTAGATTGCCCTAAGAATACAAATGAGGATAAGTGCTTTTCTACTGCATGACGGAATACCACGTTCCAGAGAATACATGCGTACGTGCGTCCACCCACCGTCAATTCAACAATTTCCCTTCCTGGTCATCTCTAACTTCCCCTCCCCTATTTTCTCCTTCCCCTCCGATTGATGTCTGCAATATTCATCTCAAATTTCTGAAATCGATTGTTACAAATGGTCATTCATCATACCACCCACCGAAAATCCATCCCATCAATAAATTTCAAATCGATGGCTCTCCATGAATTTCTTATTGAGATTTTCCTTTTTCCTCTCACCCCCCAAATTTGACTCATTCGGCATTTTCCACCCCAAATCCAGTATTCCATTTTTTTTATTTCTCGTTATTATTTTTTCTCTGCCCGTGGAAATGTAACAGGATACTCATTATAACGACGAAACGTTAACGAGCCGACGTTCGAATTACCGCATCACAAACGGAAATTATTGAATTACACACGTGTATATTCGCATTAATATATCATTTTTTTTACCTCCTCTCGGTAAATGAATATTCACATATAATTCCACAAACGATCTCTTTCCGGATATTTTTTTCATTCAATATCCAAATATTGATTTTATTTGTACATAGCCATGTGAAATTGAGGGTGACATTTGGATTTTCCGCGCAAGGTTAAAAAGAAAGTTGCGTCGGGTACTCCTCCTATCGTTTCTGGTTACTGAGGACTTTTGAGGTGCTGGTAAGGGCGGAGCAGCGCTGGCGCGTTGCATGTACGAATACCGTCTTGAAAGTACATTTCATCCCCATACCACCCCCGACAAATCCACCCCTTGGTGCCCCCCGCCACCTAAGCAAATAGCTATCTACAGTTTCCACCTGGTGCAGACTTGCGCGAGTTATCTGACCATTTTCCCTCAGCATCCAAGATCGACACTTTCATTCCACTCAGCCCACCCCCTACCAGTTCTCCCAGTTCTCTCTGTCCTCTCTCTGTTCTCTCTCTGTCATCTCTGTCCTCCTCCTCACCAGATACACATGCACCGATTTATCCAGAGGCTGGCGTTCGCGAGAAACTCCACGACTAGAAATAGTAAGCTCCGCCTCCTAGAAATCCTCCCCCCACATTTTCCTCATCTCTTTCTACATGTACTGCACGTAGAGAGGAGTTTATCCTCCTCTTGGTGTTTCAGCAGTTGTAATACCACCAAGTGAGCACCTTGGGGGGGGCTCTGGGGCGTGGTAGAAAGAGGGAGGAGTTGTCCTCACACCATCTCCAGAGAGTCATTTTCCATGTAAGGGAAAATGTTGATTTTATTATTATACTGGTATATAGAGACGTCCTAGCCAACTCGAGCTCCAGAAGTTGATGTCTTTTTTTTTCATCCCCTAGACCACTGCATTCATTCTCGATTTTAATTGGTCCAGTGTCGTCAGTGGAAATGATACGTCACATTGTTGGATAGACAATGTTATGAGCAAGGCTCGTCCTCGACACATGTCCAATAATTGTTCAACCTCGTTGGTCAGGTGAAGCAATGTTATTTTCCAGGGGAATACGTATGCGTGAACGGTGGTACGTTTTATAGTAAACGACGGGGTAGCGCTTGACTCGTGACAGAAATTACTAAATGGTCATACGAAATGAAGGGAGAATGGGGGATGAGTGGAGGAAACGGTTGTGGATGAGAGAATGTGCTCCCAGAGGTTGGACCTGTTGGGGGTATGAGGGAGAAAACCCATGAGAGAGATGTAGAGCTGGGTAAGAGAGAAATTTCTCTTGCTCTCCTCCATCCACCGTTTTGGTACTGCACCTCGTGCGCATATTAATCTTGCGCATATTAATCACATCAACCTACATCGCCTCGAATCCTCTCGTTCGGTTGGCAACGCATACTTCTCTCACTCTAGCACATTTTGATGGTGAGAGTACAATTGGCTAACCACCTGCATAACGCCTGTGGCAAATTGGCAAATCTCCCTGTGCCACCAAACCAGCCTCTTCCTCTCTCTTACACATTCACCACCTCATCCCTCTCTGTGCCCTTCATGTTTCCAAACGTATGCATCGAGAATCGTTTACGACTGTCAACGGGATACGTGCCGCATCCTGCTTGCCTGACGTATTGAATTTTCTTCGTCATTTGGTCATCCCGTTGGTCATTTCTTTATTTATTTCTCGGAGAACGAATGACGTGTGACATTATAGGATTCGGTTAGGTTCGGCTAATCAAAGTGTCCAGTTTCCTACGGGGAGTCATCACCAGGAACTCCATATCCTGTCGTTTAAACAAATAATCAAATTTTAATCAACAAATTTATGGCATTTGGTGGGAAAATTTGAGAAATTTACTGGAAATTGTTTGAAAAAATTATTGAGATAGTTGAATGGCGTCAAATTATAAAATGAGGGGGAGAATTGATCACTCGGGTTGATTTATCTTCAATGTTACCGGTGTTGTATTCATCCTTGATGTCTTCATCCACCTGGTGTTCATTCAATTTCTCTTCGGGTATTAAATTACTCTTTTTAGTTTCCAATTGAAATGTTTAGTAACAGGTGTTGGAATGTTGGTGCATGGGAGACGTTGAAAAGAGGAAACCCACCAGAAATCACAGATGCGGTTTTGTGGTGAACATTTCTAACCGCCGAATACTAAAATTTGAATTGAACTGTCACCATCAGTGCAACCCACCAATGCTCGAGAGCATCACCACTTCGATGTGTCCGCAAATCCGACGAATGTTAAATGCATTTTCGTTCGTAATAACTGCGGTCAGCAGTTCAGGAAATTCTCTGAATGCTTGACATGATGACGTTGGTGGACATTTGTGATCATTTACTGGTGGTTAAGAGTGGTAGATGTGTGAGTGGGAAGCAACACTTGGGGCGATGCTCGAGGGCGTTGGTACTTCTACTCGATACTAAATCAGTGAAGAGAAATGTTGGGATTTTCCCGCATCGCATTAGACTGATTTATATATCTGTACTATGAAAATTGCTGTTTTTTTATACTCAATTTGGTGTTTTTTTTATAGCCCAGAGTAGAGGAGAGAATATTATGGTGTCATTGTCATAAAACCATAACAGGTTGGGCATTATCGGCGGCTTAGGCTGGTGGAATTG